CCTGTGTATCAAGTGATCATATATGAATTATTTTATTAATCAACTGGTTTTTTATATAAAATTATTACAAATATCCATTTATCAATATGGATTTAAGTTTAATCTCGGTTCAATTTACTTTTCATTTTCTTCCAGTTCTAATTTCCAGAATTGGGAAAAGATAAAGAGTAAATTAAATCGAGATTAAAATTTTACATTGATTTAAAAATAGGCATATGATATTCAAAATAATATATATTTCGATGATCGATTGATGCTAATAGAGTATAAATCATTGAAACAAACCTCTCGATTTTGAGGAAGATCACATGCTAATTCCCATGAATTATCTGAACTCCTTGCTGCAGCTTCTTCTAAAATACTGTCACTGAGATCTAAGACATCAATCCAATGAAATAATTCGCACTTTCCAAATGTCCACGCATCTATCTGCTTTAGCTCTTCTAGCAGCTCTGCATGCGAGCAGGAGCGTAGTTTGCTTATGAGTGCCTGGCATTCCGCTGGCTACATATTACACATAATTAATTTTAATGTTAAATAACGCATATATATGCATGTGTAAGTATATTACAAGCTTTTGTATTCCAAGAGACAATGTGCAGTTAATCAAAATTAGTTTACAAACTAAAATTATATTAAAATTTATACTATTTATATTGCGTAATAGAAATTGAAATAACTATACATACATTTATGTATGTATAAAACATTTATGTACAAAAAAATTATGTAGTCTGTTCAAAAATTTAATTTTTAATATGTAATTATATATTTTAATAAAAATAAATTGACATTTATGTCATCACATAAATGTAACTAAAAAAAACGTTTAAGTCATTCAAGTAAAAACTGTACAAAATACTTACCACTTCGGAAGTGCATTTTTTCAATCTACTGCGATCGATTTTCATTTTGATGTGTTAATGAGTCCTTGCAAATTTTAATATCTAAAATAAAAGCACAGATATCGCATTATAAAATTTAAAGTAATATTTACTTAAAATTAGTAATATAATTACATAGATAATGTATCGATTTTTTTATATGATAAAACATATCAATGCATCATTATGATTAATAATGTATAAAAATACAAAAACTATTATAAAAAGTTATTTTTATAACTATTTGTTATTAAAGAAACAATGAAGAAGCACAATTAGTCATACTATCATAATAAAATTTCTATATTCCACAGATATATCATATTGCAATAGCTTAATATCATATGATATAGAAATTTTAAGTAACAAGTTATTCAGTTTACAATTATGCATTTCTAATTCATTCGTGTAAATATTGCAAAATGTATCCTATTGCATATCCAAATGCAACTATTCGCTATATTAAATACCAACGTTAAAACATTCAATAATATTCTACAAATTTCTAGAAGGCGAGATTTCAGTGTTCTGTGTATATATGTATGTATATATATATATATATATATATATATATATATAAAATATTAAAATTGTACAATCAATACAAGTTTTTAAGGAACGTGTACATCTTATTACATGGCACGGATCTCGAGAACTGGCAGCGTTACTAACTTCAACAATCCATGCATAGATAAAGCCGTTTGTAAAAAAAAATTACAATTAAGATTTAAAAAATATTACAAAAATTTATACATATATAGAGCAATCTTAATCTGTTTTCGATACATGTCTGCGAAACAATATACGTTTGCCCAACTAAGAAAGCAAACAAGGTTTCTTCCGAGAAAAAAGTTTGGAGTCACCTCCAAGACAATGACTTTTTCTTACATCCGTAATCGCAAATCTATATAGATTCTATCCGCTGACTTCTGTCCTCGTAACGACGTGTGCACGTTATGGAACGCGGCAATAGTTAGAGGTACATATATATGTGTGCGAGATCTGATAATCAGAAATTAGAGAAAGAGAGTAAATTGGTGTATGATGAAATCGCGTTTCGGCCTTATGTACCTCGTGATTTCTAAGAATCGACGTACGTACAATAATCGTCACGGCATAGCCCAACGCAACGTCATGAAACGCGTATCGCAACGCGCGTGGTAACCTTTTTTTTTTTCCTTCTTCCTTCGATCCGCGCTCGATCCTATCGTCACACTTATCTGGGTCGCCTTACCCTTTGTGCCACGCGTCGGTCATCCCTCGGACGCTTTGCACTCGCCTCCTTTTCGCGGTTGGTCGCGCGCGACGCGAGAAAGCGTATCGCGGATATTGATATCCGGCGTTGGATATAATCACGGCGAGGAGAGACGAGAGCTCACGCTTTAATCTGCACAGTCATCAGCGGCACGGGGGAAGCGAGAGAGGAATCTAACCTATTCCGCGCGCGCGGCGCAGGGACAATGGGCGAAAACTTGACAACACACGCACACGCAGCAGAACCACGGAGGATCGAGTGACAACACCCTGGCGGCGATCGGTCACACTGCCAGGCCGCGCTCCGCGCTCGGGAAGTCGTCGGGAGACCCGTGCGCCCTCGTAAATAAACGTTTGAAGGTGAAAAGAGGCGTGTGATAGCCCACGATATTTCGAACGTGGCGACGGTTGGACGAGGGACACGGGGAAGTTTCCCTCTGGACTGGAAAGTCCGAAAGAGAGGATAGGCGCGATGCCGAAGCGAAGCCAAAGGAAGGGAAAAGAAAGAGGCTGAGAGAAAGAGAGAGAAAGAAACGCGCGAGCGAGCGAGGGGGGAAGGAGAACCGAGAGAGAGAGAGCGACGTGCTTCCTTCTTTCTCTCTTTTCTCTCTCTCTCTCTCTCTTTCTCTCTCACCTGGCGATGAGCCGTCGTACTTCCGTGTCCCCAACTATTCTCCGTGATAACGTAGCGCTGCCACTGGTAGCCTCTTCCGTCGATGTGCCCGATGAGTTCCGTCCGTTGCGCTTCTTCACGTCAGGAGCGTGGCGATGCGGCACGGGCATCGCGGTCGCGTCGAACCCGCGAACCGAAACCCCGAGATCACTACTTCACTTGTACCGAGTAACTTCACTGCCGCGCTCGATACGTCCGATTGCCGATACTCGCGATGCGATTCTCCGCCAGCTTCTCTACGTCAACTAGCAGCGACGACGCCGACGACGACGGCTGACGATGACGACGACGACGACGACGGCGGCGGCGGCGGACTCCTCTCTCGTGGTCGTCGGCACGTTGATGATCGGGCAGCCGCCGCGGCTACGCTGCTTCGCGAGAGACGGAGACGGCGAGAACGCGGGCGGAATGTGACGGACAAGGAGGCGACGAGAATGGATGACGAGAAGGGGAAAACTGCGAGAGACGGACAGAGATAGATAGAAACAGCGGTGAAGGAGTGAGAAAGAGTAGGGGGAGAAGAAGGGGAGGCCGGCGATCGGAGGTGCGCGGAACGAAAGGCCGATAATGCTCCGTGCGCTGCTCTCGGCGGCACGACGATGTCAAAACAAAACCGCGAGCGCGGCCGCGAAGGCGGTCGTCTCCCCCCCTTTTTTTTTTATTTCTGTCTCGTTTTTTTTCTTCCACTCCTGGCTCCTCTTTTTTTCCTTCCTATCGGCCGACGACGGTGCCGATCACCGCCATTTTAGCGTGGCATCTCGTGCACGACGGTGCTCGTCTCGTCTTCTTTAACCTTGGCGAACGGACGGGGTCCGCGCACGCCACACTGTGGAGCCCTCGATGCTCGATCGCCGTCGATGTTTCTCGAACGATGTATTTCTCTCTCTTTCTCACGTACGTTCGCTCGCTCGCTCACTCACTCGAACGAGTTCACGACCTCCTCCGTCGGCGGCACGATCACTCGTCTCACCCGACGACGTCGTCCGCGTCGCACGCGCGAGAATTCGCGCTCTTGTCTCTTTCACCGATATACGTATATATGTATATTATTGCGCACCCGAGAGAGAGAAAGAGAAGAAGCTACAGCTCTGTCACGATTACGTGCACACACACACGCGCGCGCGCGCACACACACCACACACACTGGATATGCGCGCGTGCGCGCGCTCTCTTGCTCACGCCGTCGAACACAACCTCCTCTCCGAGAACGTGTTTCACCTCACTAGCCTCCCACCGGCTCGAGGAGTCGCTCTCGCGGTGGTGATACCGTCGATGCGCAATTGCACGCACGTCCGCGCGCGTCTTCAGTCCACCTCGCACACCACATACACAACACGCGCGCGCGCGCGGGTACTTTTCTTCTATGCCCCCCTTTTTTTTTCCTCTCTTCGCTTTATCCCTTTGCTACGCGATGCAGCGCACACCCGACAGGCCGATCCTCATCTTACGTTCAGCGCATCTCACTCGCCTCGCTCGAAAGGGAGACCCGCGACCCACGACGACGATGCGCGACGGGGCACTTCCGTGAATCCGTGCGATCTCTCGCGACCGGGCGCGAGTCGAGCGATGCGGGCGCGGCGTAAACACGCGGGCGAATCAGCTGCTGCCGCGACTACCTGCCGTCGACACTTCAAATACGAGCCTAAAGCTCTCCTGATGATTTTTGAAGAAGCGTCCCGTTTGATCATAGCTACTCACAGCGACTCCGATGTTCGGATTTTACATCAAATAATCAAGAAATTTTACGTTAAATTGGCCAATTAACGACATGGACAATCAAGTCCCAATTTTTTTTACTAGATGCAGGCTGAATTATTAGAAACGCGGCAACCACAATGATTTATTCTAATCGTAAAAATGTATATGTATTTTAAAGGTAATTTTAAAGGTATAAAATTATAACTATATCTATTAAAACATATATATATATATATATATATATATATATATATAATTATATATCTATATGTATAATATAATAGTTATATATAATAAGTAGATATAATTAATAATTATATAAAATTATATATAACTGTATTAATTTTATGTTTTATCACAAAAGCTTGTACATTACGAGTTTTTTTCACTCTCTCTTGCGCAACTTGGTCTTGCACTCTCTGTATCGCGAATACAAAAGCTGTAAATATAAGACATTTGTAACGTACATGTAAAAATATGTAAAAATGATATCCTTTTTAGGCACTGCCAAAATTTATTTTTATCCATAAAATAAATAAGAATTAATAAATTAACTGTTCTTTTTCATCTCATGCTTGTCAATATGCTCAAGGATAAGATCGATTATCGAGATATCCTTTCCCATTATGTAACGTGATTTTTTACAAAGTTGTAAAGATCCACTGGCGTCCACGTCGTGTAAAGCACAATGTATCTTGTCTAAATAAAAATCTATCTTACTTGCGTAAAGTGAGCCGTTTGTTTCGTACTTCAATATGTTCGTGTCGACCTGCTCAACTAAACGATTCAAGTATCGTGCTATATTCACCATCCCCAGAATTTTATGCATTCCTGGCAATATCATAATGGGATCGACCCCAATAGTTTTCCAAATTACAGTTAATGATATATCCACATTTGCGTTCTTACTGAAATAAAGCGAACCAAAGCTAGCAAGCTCACTTGGCAAGTTCGCTACTGTAGAGTGTACATGTGTCGACACAAAAACATGAAAGTACGGTGAGATGAGTCGCAAAAAAAATTCGATGAAATAAATGGGATGCTTCGGATCGCAAAAAATAACAAGGTTCTGCTTAAAAAACTTTGGCTTTTCTAATTTCGCCACCTGCTTGACCGCTGTTTCTTGGTTTGATTGTGTTTTAACCGATTTTTCTTCTTGCTGTTGCATTTTCCACTGTGAACGAATCATGCGGCTAGTTCTGTAAACAGAAATAATGAACTTAATGATTGGATGTTAGCAAAAATTTTCAACTTTAGTTATATAAAATCGCCATATAATCACATCATTTAACAAAGATAACTTGGGCCGTTATTCATAGTTTTTACATTTAAAACTGTCTTAAATATAATTAAGATGTCATAATCACGGGGCATTATCATCTTAAGACAATCTTGAAATAAGAATTGACTATAAATATTAACCAATGATCTTATTTTTTAATAAAAACCAATGATCTTATATTTTAATTATTTATTTAACTTGTAACTGTTTTACCTAATTTTACCTTACTTCCAAAAAATATACTCTAACATAAATACCTTAATAATGCTTAGAATGATATTTACTTCTCTAATCGACATAGAGGATTGTTATGAACCATTTCCATGTCCACTTTTGGCCCAACAAGATCGCGTATATTGTTTAAACCATATTTAATCATTGTTGGCCTAAAGTTAAAAAAATGAAGTGTGTTACATTTTTATATTAAATGTATGCAATATCGTGCAAGTCATATCTATTTTCTCGTACCTTTCTAATGACAAACCCCATGCAATGACATTTACATCAGGGGGTATGTTCATCGGCAGCAACATTTCGGGCCTAAACATACCGCTATTGCCGATTTCTATCCATTTCTCCAGGCCATTATGGAAACAGAATATTTCCATACTCGGCTCGGTGTACGGATTATACGCAGGTTTGAATTGAAGCTGAGTGATGCCAAGTTTACTGAAGAATTCGTATAAAATGCCAATAAGATTACCCAACGTAAGGTTGTAATCAGCAATGACACCTTCAACTTGATGAAATTCGGCAAGATGCGTCGCATCTAGAGTTTCGTTGCGGAATACTTTATCAATACTGAAGTACTTGATCGGCTTAAACTCTCCCTGGAAAAAATATTTTCCCTTTTATGCCTCGTCGTTCTTGAAAGATTGAAACTTGCATACGTGTGTGCATATTCCTTCAACTACATACTTCCTCCATGAGTTTATACAACATCCGTGCGCTATTGGACGTGGTATGAGTGCGCAGCAAATTTTTTTGTGCCTCTTCCAACTTCCAATCGTATCTGTAACCTTGAGATCCATACGCTCCTTTGCTATGAACAGTTTTCACTCTTTCGAGATATTCCATAGGGAACTTTGTGCTAATACGAGGTTCTAAAAGACAAAACTAACTTGTTGTCCATGCCTTTTGAGCATTACTTCATATAACAATCCGAGATAAGGTACCAGAGATAAAAAAGGTGTCATGCGCATCACGAGCAGGATGTTGCTGTGGCTGGAAGAGAGCATCAAAATTCCAGAATGAACTTTCTACATAATTATTTGTTGGCATTTCTGTAAATCTGTAAAGAGAATAATTTTCATAATAAAAATCGATAATACTGTATTATCTTAAAGGTACATAACTATAAACTTTTCCAAGTTTTTTTTTTAACAATACATATAAATCCTAAAGAACGATTGATATCATTTACCCCATTTCCACGAAGATCTTTCTGAATTCATGACGAACTTTCAACAACGGATGTAAATGTCCAATTTGAAGCGACGCGCCCAGAGCATCAAAATTGTATGGTTTAAATTTCTTGTCTTTCCAAGCGCCATTCGTCAATAAATCTGATGTCAAGTCTGCTTCTAGCTTTTCTATTTTCGTCGAGAAATTTGGCCCCTTTTCCAGATGCATAATTTTAATCACCCTGTCATGACAGAAAAAAAATTAGAAAAAGATAAAGGAAAGATATTTATGTGATTTTACATTGACCTTTATTTCTCTGTTACTTACACCTCTTGCAGAAGCTTCCTCTTCTTATATTCAGCTTTAACATTTTCCGGGACATCTGTGAGATTCTTCAGATGTGTCTGGGTAACATCTACGATGGACGGGATTTTTCTTCGTACAGTAGGAACGTTTCCACTTTTATCAAGCTCGATCCACCCAGCCACCATCGCCTTGGAAAAACCCACTTTAGCATAAGGGCTGGACTTGATGAGATTCGACTGGGGTATCCCTCCGTCAGGGACGGCATTATAAACAACCGCTTCGTGGCTGCCGTGCTCGATTATGTATTTTCCCTCGTCGGTGATCTCCCATTTCTTCTTGGAAATCGGTTTCACCGTGATCAACTGGAAATAGGTTATGATCGAATATTCGACTAAACCACGATTAAACCGACGAATTCCACAGCTGATATTTCAGCGAATACAGCTGGTTAGCGCGTCTCGCGTCAATTTAAATCACAAAATGTTGAAACAATTGAAAATATACGAGTTTAGACATGTAACGATAAACATAGGTTTCCAGATTGTTGAAAAGAAACTCACATCGTCAACTGTCTCGAGGCTCTTAATCGCACCGACGATCTTTTGATGATCCTCCTGAAACTCATCTGCTAAATCCAACGAATTCGTTGCACCATGTGTGTTCAGATACTCTAAAATTCGGTCCGCCAAGTTCCTCGCCATCTTGCACCGCCAGCGTACTATTACCTATGCCTACGCAACCAAATCGCGTACGTATGTATTAATTCGGATTTATCGCAATTCGCAACCGGCACAAATCCACGTGGTATGAAGCTTAGGCCTACATCATTCACGATGTGATGACAACTTGCATACCAGTAATTTGTCGTCACTAGTAGCCGGATGATGGCGCTCGAGTAGCCCAAAGTAGCCAATTTTGAAAACGTAAGAGCCTAAAAGTAGCCAACACAAGTTTCTAATAAATTTGAATGCAAAATGTAATTTCAAACAGTTTTTTATATACGTACATATATATAAATACATATATCCATCAATCTAATTTGTAATTAATGAAATAATAAAAAAATATTGAGATTTTCTTATTTATTAATCTTTTACTTTGAATATTTTATGAATCTATTGACTCAGCTAACTCTATAAGAGT